AATAAATTCATTACCTTAGTAATGGCACAGACTTTCTACAAATATTATATACCTTAGGTGTTAATATCCATTAACATTGCTCTTTCACTGTTCTCAGCCGTTAAATCGAACCTGGACCTCATGCGTGATTGGCGACTATTCTACTATTGAGCGTGATATCCGGCTGTTGACCAAAAGGCGTGTGTACTGCTCAGAATTTCGCTCTGTCCTTTGTGGCTGGATGTGAGACATGGCCATTGAAAGTGGAAGACATAAAAAGGTTAACCCTTCTTTGATCATGGGTGTTTGCGTTCTATTTCTCGTGTTAAGAGATGGCATATTAAAGTGAGCAATATTGAGATAAGGGATCGGTCGAGTGCTAGGTACGTGGGAGGGGAAATCAATCGATGAGGCTGTGAAGCAGTTACATCGATTGAGATGGTTAAGATAAGTGTCACGCATGCCTAGCCTAGCCACCGCTTTCCTCGACCGACGGGCAATGTTAGCTGACATATAATCAGGCTAGAAAATAGCTAGTGGTGATCAAACCAAAGCATGGCCCATCAGTCAATGAAATCTACAGCAGTTAGTTTAAGCCAGCTAGCCACATAGGGAGGTGTAGACTTCCTGATTGATTGTGGTCCTTGGGATGGTAAAAACCAATGAGGTTGCAGACAAGTGGTGATATGGCTCAAAATCCTCGTTCTCAATGACTGGCGCAGATGTAGTCACTCTTTGTGATTTGTCATATCCAGAAAAAATTTTGTTGTTCTTCCATATTACTATTCTTTTTGCCTCATATTTCTGTTGTTATCTCTCTCTCTCTCTCTTTACTCTGTTCTCTTGCTTTGTGTGCTACAAGGAGGGAGTGTGGCAACTCGAACTTGTGCACATCTGTGCAAAATTCCACGTTGAAACCAGACAGTCTACCATTAAGCCATCAATACTCTCACTTCCTTTAATCTTTCATTATTATTTTTTCGTTTCAACTCCTATGACAAGTACATATATGATCACATCTTTCGAAAAATGTTGCACGAATACCTGACATAATTCATAAAAAGTTTATTTTTTAAAATTATTATTTTGCTGAAATTCATGAAAAGGCTGAAATTGTTTCAAATTAAAATTAATTATTTATAGACATTATTCACAATCTGCAGTCTAGATTATTTTCATTAAATTTCATGATTACTGTAATTATGTTTATTGATGTTCATACAGTTTATAGTGAAAATAATAAATTGATTAGTTATAAAAAATATCGACCGTTTTGTCAACTAATAATCACCAACTGCGAAACAATGAATTGACAGGCAGGAATACCTAACGGCTGTTTTATCCTACTTCCTTTAAAACAAGCAATAAAGGTTAACAAAGCAGGATTTAATGAATTCATCAAATTTCGGTAGAACTCGTGAGCTGAATACTCTACATACACGGATATATATACTTTTGAAACTACATTGGGAGATGTAGGACTGATAAGTAAACAAACTACATTGAATTGGTCATGCAGAAAGACAGGTGCGAATGTTTTTCCAGGTCATGTTCAAATAGATAAGGGGAGAGAGAGTATGGAAGATCAAAATTAAAATAAATTGCATTACGCTTCAATTACATCACTTAGATAAACAATTAGACATTAAAGAATATAGCAAGAATTGCAAACAGAGTGATGTCCATAGTAATAGTTATAATAATAATAATAGTGTTGAAGTGAGTTAATATAATGCTACTGATAAAGGATAGTTTTAAATGAATCAAGAATAATAATAATGAGAATAATAATAAGAGGTAGAATTATAAGTAAAAAGTATTACCATGGTAGATTCAGAGTCACGACCATCTCCTTTTGTACACAGAGACCTGGTCTGTTAACTCGAATTGCAAAAGCCTCTGCAATTGCAAGCATCTTCTTGTTTCTTTGTCTGCTGACAATAGTGAATGACTCGACCGCGTCGATATCATGTCCGTAATCCACAAGATGCTTTGTTATTGAGGATTTTGGCACTTTGCACTCAGCTGTTTTCAACCGTTTTGGCAAATGCTCCATCATGCAAGCAGACAATCGCCTTTCCGTATGATCTATGTATTTGCTTCCACAAACACACTCAAATTGCTATACTCTCTCAAAATTGATATACTCTCCCCTTATCTATTTGAACATGACCTGGAAAAACATTCGCACCTGTCTTTCTGCATGCCTAATTCAATTTAGTTTGTTTACTTATCAGTCCTATATCGCCCAATGTAGTTTCAAAAGTATATATATCCGTGTATGTAGAGTATTCAGTTGACGAGTTCTACCGAAATTTGATGAATTCATTAAATCCTGCTTTATTGACCTTCAGTGCTTGTTTTAAATTCGTATCGGGAAATAAATGTTCCCAGTACTTCCTTTAGTATAGCATAGTGACCTTAAGATCGGGGAAACTGAGTCTTGTGTGTATGTGCGCATAAATGAGTAACATTCATAAGACATGATTATAAAACAACTGATTAGTTTTGTTTTTGATTCCTTGTCTCTCTAGTTGAATATAAGCCTTAAAGCTTTGAAATTTCAGTAGTAGTGATTTTTTTACGGGGGTGGGTAGGTGGCTTCACGTCCAACCTCGCCTACATGGTAGTAAACTAAGGAGAGGTGTAGGAGTGCGTCGGTTGGAAATCGAGCCCGGATCACGTGTGTATTTGGCAAGCATTCTACCAGTGAACCATCGGCACACGTGATTAGTATTTTTACTTCTTTTGTTTAACTGATTCACTTCTAACTCGACAAAGGGAGAGCTATTTTTGAAGTCAATGAATATTCTTCCTCCATTAACTACTACTGGGAATTGGGTGGATGATTCATACACTCGCTTCCTGTTACACATTAGTTTACACCTTCATTTTCTACTTTTCCTTTTATTTATTGTTATACTATTCAATAAATTCGCCAGTATTTTGTAAAATTAACAAACGATTAATCATCATTTGCCTATATTTAGGTATTTACTAACTAACAAGCTGACTTGCTTGCTTATTCCTTATTCTTTCTTTGAATTATGTTTTAATGTCTGCACGGATGTGTTCATTTCTTAATTATCCCAGTTGAAATATAGAAAGAGAGAGAAAAATGAAGAATTAAAGCGGTTAATACTGTAAAAAATGTCATTTATTGTTTATATCAATCAGTATTAAATTGTAGTTACATCGAAGTGAAATTCACTTCTCTTAGTTGCTTGCTTGAAATTCCTACTGAGAATGGCATAACTTTTACTGTCATTTGGCTAGTTGCTCCTTGCTATGTTAGACAGGAATGTTTTTGATGTAGTTACCTTCTTTGAGTTAAGTGGTTTAATTGCAAAGCTTTCATTGTTCTTCTAGACACTATCTTCAGTGCGAACTTGTAAATGAACTGAACTTATATGAATTATTTCCATGAATGACCTTGATTGTGATTGATTGTTAATTTGCATCAGTGTATTGATCGTTTTCTATTGATTTGGAATTTGAATTTTTTTGGTCGTGTGGCTCATTCTTTATTAGTTGGTATTATTTGACCCATGTATAATATAAGGTGTTTGTTAACGGCTGCTTCATCTGAGTACAGGGTTTTTAGGAATCCCCTGGGGTTTCTGGTGTTTCTGCTGTTTAAAATTTCTACATTTTCTCAGTCGAACTGTTGTCCACGATTGTCTACATACACTAATATGAAAGGATACATGTTGTGTCTGTTCATAGCTAATTTATGTTCTTGCGCTCGGAGTCTAAGCAGTCGGGTGAAATTTCTTAGGATTTCTAAGGATGGTAGTTTGACTCGAGTGTAGATGTTTTTTGGATGAAGTTGCAAGACTGTTCATTTTTCTTGAAGACGGTTAGTAGATATTTCTCTGTGTTGTAACTCCTCAAAAATAATTTATCATCTGATGCATGAATGTTATTCATTCAATGCTTAGAATTCATAAGACAGTGTGCCAAAAAAGTAAATCTCTCCTCGATTTTTCTCTTCTGATCATATGTATGAGATCATATGATACTAGTCTGAGTGTGTTCTGTTTATTGTTGCTGTTCCCCAAATAAATTTTATTTGTAAAAGCGTCGGTGGCACAGTGGTTAGGACTCTCGCCGACCATGCACATGGTCCGGAGTTCGATCCTCTGCTGACGCACACCTGATATCTATGGTCGGCCTGCAAAATTTGGGCTACCGATATCACATGCTGAAAATTCCAAACCTGTAACAAAAAATTCGGTGTGGAATCAAGCTGTAATCAAAAATATAAAAAAATAATTGCAGAAACAAAGGAATATGTTCGTTATACGTTTCGATGAAACCAGGTTACATTTATCACCATCATCCGTTTGAGTACATTTCTTTCTGCTTATTGATCTTATTATATTCCACTGTAGATCTTGTCACAAACCAGTATCAGTTGAAGACCGTTGAAAACTAGAGAGAACTAGATAACTGTTTCGTCCTCGTTTGGAACTCTTCATCAGTGCACATCCATGACCCTACCAGACATCGAATCCGTGACTTTCAGGTTATGAGACCAAACTTGTTGGCAGTTCTAACCACTTGGGTCGGAATACCGTGACCTGTGAATTCTAAGTTTGTTAATTGGTGTTAAAGCATTACCCTCAACTGACGCCTTCGATGAGTGTCCACTTTACCTAAACATGGTTTATCCCACTGGTCATGATTTCTCTCCGTACAGCGTTAGGATATCCATCCAGCAGCAGTCATCAATGAACTGGAGATTGTTATTTAGATTATGGAAGTCCTGAGTTCAACCCCTGCTGGAGACGTGGGTGTGCATTGATGAAGGGTCCCGAACTAGGATGAAACACTTGTTTTTTTCTTCATCGTTTTCAATGATTCTCTAATTGATTTTAATTCGCGACGAGATTCTTAATGAAATTATTGCGAATCCCTATCAAAAGCCCCATAATCTAGTTATCATATTTCCTTGAAATCCTCTGTTCTACTCATTATTATTATTATTATTATTATTATTATTATTATTATTATTATAGATATACATGGTGGCTGAAGCGATAACAGATGCTGGTGTTCTACTCGGATTACCTCGTCCAACAGCACAGAAATTAGTTGTGAACACTATACTTGGTTCAGCTGCTATGATACAAAAAACTGGCAAGAATACAACTGAATTGAAAGTAAGATTTTGCTTCTGTTGTGCAGTTTTATTTTTGTAAATGTCATCCTCTAAACATGCTTAGAACCTTAATTAATTTTGTTGTCATTACTGATTGCATAATTTCTCGTTTAAAGGGTGAAATTTTCAAGTATCGGTTTTGTAGGGATTTTGTTTGTTTGGATGGAGATTTTTATTATGAGCTGACATCAGTTACAGAACCATTTGAAAACCTGGGATTACTGGGCAGCTGTTCCACCTTAGTTCGGGACTCTTCGTCAGTCCGCACCCACCTTCAGGATTCGAACTCAAGACCTCATGGTTACAAGGCAAGCTCGTAGACCAATAAGAGCTATGTCATAAATTGGCAGGAGTTAGACTTCACGGGCTGGCCTTTGGATTGGGTCCCAGTGGCCTAATGGTCTGCGAGCTCCCCTTGTAACCAGAAGGCCCTGGGTTCGAAGTCCGCAGTGTGGGTGCGTACTTCTGAAGAGTCCCAAACTAGGAAGAAACAGCTGTCCAGTACTCCTTGGTGGGTTTTCAATGGTTCTCTAACTGATGTTGGCTCATGATCAAATCCTCCAACCAATTAAAGGGGGAAATGTTCAAATACTATGCGAAACTAGCTTTGTTAGTGGTTCAGTGTGTAGAATCTTTGCCAACCACACGCGCCTGTGGGTGTTGGGTCCCAAATAAGACTAAATGCGCATCCTGGATTCCAGTTCCAATCAATATTCACCAAATAGTATAGAGTAATTTAATCTTCAGTATGCCTTGAAATGACTGTGAAGTCAACTATATGGGTCAGCTGGTAGACCAGGGCAGTCAGTTTATGAGAACATAGAAAATTAGCTAAGTATAGAATAATTGACCTCATAAAGGTGAACAGCTGAGAGAAAAACTCAACAGTGCATGCACTAACTAACACACAATCACACAACAAAGTGACACAAACCTTTCAGAAAGTAATATAGTTAGGTTTAGGGAGATGTTGATCACTGAATCTTTATCTAGCGAATCTACATCTGACGTTTACAATAAGAATAACTCAACACCAACATCAGATATATGGAAAATATTACTAACAATAAAATCAAAGGATAAGATGTCGTGGAACTATATTGGTGCCCTAATGTGACTATGATATACTCATTATCAAAAAATATGCGTTCGACTCCATGATTAAGACAGTGAATTAAACTCAAAAGGTGGGAAGCTATGGAAATGGATGTACTGTTCATTCCAGGTGGTTTTCTTGAAGATATTTCTTTTCATAGATCCATGCATCATTTTTTTTTGGTAAATGAAAAATTTGAATGAGTAATACTGAATATTTTGATTATCAAGTTTCTTATTACAAAATCCAAACACGATGGTAATAATATTCAAGCTTATTCAGTGTCTCTCTCAGAAAACCATTTCCTATTGACTGTGTTGTCCAGAACCCAAATACGTCTGTTGCTCAGGAAGTGCAACAACAATTAAAGTAGAATCTTCTAGTGTTACTTTGCAGGGATTTGACTGATTTGGTGTGGAAACACAAGCTGCTCTACAGTTAGAAAACCAGAGAAAACCAAGAAGCACTGGATAGCTGTTTCATCCTCGTCTGGGACACTTCATCAGTATGCATCCATGACTCCGCAGCAGGGATCGAACCTGGGACTTTAAGGCTCCTAGACAAGAAGTTGTGACCAGCTGTGTTCACCAAGTTGGCTGTTGATGGGCCACTGATTGAGTCCCAGTGGCTGGATAGTCAGTGAGCTTGCCTTTTAAATGAAACGTGCTGATGAGGTGGGTCATGACCGCATGCTGCTGAAGAGTTCCAGACCAGGACGAAATAACTGTCCAGTACTCCTCGGTTTTCAATGGTTCTCTGATTGAAGTCAGTTCATGATCAAACTTAAAGTGCTATCTGTCTGAGCAACGTATCCACTGCATCATTTCGAAATATAAATACTACCCAATACTTATTGTCATAATAATAATAGTAGTAGCAGTATCGATTGTACCGTACACATTAATTAACCACTAAGAATTGCTAATATATTCAGCTCCCATATGGTTCCAATGTGATTGTGTAAGATATTGTTCAGTGGTTTCAGCACACTATACATTTTGTGCAAGTTACTTCATCTTCTTTTGGTACATACTGGGCAGAACTACCCGTCTACATTACATCATTGACTACAGCTTTGTTGTCTGGTATTTAAACTTTTACTATCCAATACAGTCCTAGAGGAGACCAATCGTGGGCGCAGATAGCTCAGTGGTAACGTCTCTAACTGCATCAAATCTCAGAGGGGGGAGGAATATGAGTCGCTTCAAGAGTGTAGATACGCCTCGCTGACTGGTGAGTGCCAACAAGCATGAAATCTAGGTCAGACAAGGCTTCCTACTGATTGCCTCCAGTCATCTAGCTAGGTCATTGTGTTTTTATTGATTAATTAATTTATAAACATGGTTCATAGCTTTAAAACATGATGGTGATTCAGTTTAATTGTGTAATCTCTTTTATTTTCAAGAATTAATTTGCGCTACCATGTAAAGTTTTAATTTTTATCAGTCAATTACAACATATTCATGTAATATAATCTTAACAGTACATACTGTTTTAGTATAATTGTCAGTTTGCTTACACTTAGTAACTAAGCAAATCGATGTCTATTTGGCTGGGTATCTTGACAGACACCTGTTACATATATATATATATATATATATATATACGCCTGTATACCCTCATGTGGGTGATTCACGTCCATGATTGAGTCCATTTTCTAGTCTATTGAATTACACACCAATAATATATACACATTTCAATCTTTAAAAATACTTAAAATGTCTGTTGCTGCACAAAAATAGCCTACATTCTGTCTAATTATGTAATACACTTGCATATAAGACAGATTGTATCTTTCTTTGCATTTGCTTGCCTTAGTCTTTCTTTTATTATGTAATCATTGTGTAATTGGTTTCTGCGTAAAGTGATATTGTTTTCGGCATTGTTTAAAGTTCTGCCTTTATAGTTCTGTTGATTTAGAGGTAATAAATACTATTTCATGTAATTGCAACACAATGTGCATTGTCTGAGTAATTCTTTTTTGAAAAACCTGTTAGCGCATAGTTGAACCTTGTAGAATACTCTTGTATGTATCAGATAATTTTTTTTTGTTTAAAACTTCAGCTACCAGAAACTTCCATCTGTCTATTGCCTATATTTTCTCTATTATTCGGTTTGTTTCAGTCGATTAAGATATGATCTCTAATGGTATTATCTACTCTTGTGGGTATTGAAAATGTTTACAGGCTCCTAATATGCAAGTTCCTACTAAAACTTGAGGCATGGCCTGATTGTGTGTGGCAGCTTGTTCTCAAAATCTACTTCTGAACATCTTACAATTGGCTTTCAACTAGATATCGTGGATTTCTTGAAGGAGACAAAGCAGATATATCATAATGGAATGGTTTGTGCTCCAGCTCAGAGAGTATTGTGTCAAAGGATATACTGTCAATTAATATTTTACTTGAAAATATTGTAAGAAGGGAAAATATCATGCAACAGACTCCTCTGGAAATTCTGTCCAGTTACTCACAAACGAAACTGTGTGCAGACATTGTTTAAAAGAGTTCAGACACATTGTAGCACTCCAGATTTGAAAAGAATGGAAGAAAAGTACCTACAAACGGTCTTCAAAAAGAATGGTTATCCACGAAATTTCATCAAAAAGTGTTTAAAGTCGAATCAAAACACCAACAAGAAACATTCATCAAAGACCACAAGAAAATTCATTCTACCATACATAAGAAATATCTCTGAAATAACACCTAGAATACTGAAACCGTTTGATATAGATATAGCATACAAGCCAGTAAAATCGCTTAATTCGATATTATGCAAACCAAAAGATCCAACAGAAAAAGGGGATAACAGTAATACCATTTACAAAATAAATTGTATGAACCGCAACAAGCATTACATCGGCCAAAGTGGGCGTCTCCTTCGAATCAGAATCCAAAAACACAAATTAGCCGTGAAAAGACACGATATGTATTCTTTTGTGTTAATGCATATAGACAATTATGGTCAGCAATTTGATTGGGATAATGTCGAAATCTTAGACAGAGGAAACACTAAAAGGGCCAGGGAATTCCTAGAAGCCTGGTACTCAAAAGAAAATGCAATTAACAAGCACGTTAATATAGACGAAATATATCAACTAATAAAAAGTAATGCAGGTGACCAGAAAGTTTAAAATCCAAGTCAATAGAAAATGGTCAATACATATGTAAAGATAGTTACCAGGAGACGGAATTATATCACTCATGAAGAAATTTAAATCATTTCACTTTGTGCTAAAGATTGCGCTGGAGATGTTGTCCATAAGGACGACGAAAGCTCCGCAACTAAACCAACCAGCTTAGACAACACTATTAATTACATTTTATAAATACTATCCAGAATAAAGATGTTATTATTATTAGTCAATGAAAAAATCATGAAAGTTTAGTCATGGATTGATATCGGTTAGAGAATCGTTGAAAACTAGGGACTCTTCAACAGTGTGTATCCATGATCCCACCGAAGATCGATTCTTTCAGGTAACGAGGCGAAGCTGTCACCTATTCCAACCAGTTGGGTTGGATCTGTCTAATGGTCTAACTGCTGTCAAATCGCGATATATGGCTCAACTGTTAGTCACCGTCATCGACGAGTATTTCTCCTCTCACTTAATTTTGTGGGCGCTGCTAGTCACGACTTCTCACTAGAACACAGAGAGAGAACCTCTTTCTGTAGTCAGCCATTAGTCATGGATAATTTTGTATCTTACAAATTGTCCATTTTTCCTTCATATAATTCTTAGTAAACAAATTAGTAAAAGTGATTTTTCAAAAGGCCCTTATGACAATCGTCTGAATGTAAACCCCAGCATAACAGAATAAGTAGATCTTGGTGTATACAGAAGTGTAGGATATCAGGTTTCAAAACTGACACAGAAAGAAGAATTAGCAAAAAAGTATTCATTT